TCTTTAAATGGGTGGGATTCTGGCTGGACAGTCCAGGAATTCCAGGTCTGTTAGTATCCTTCACCTGCCAACCAGGATCTGGGACCACTCATTGGTTGTCAAACCCGTCATGAGCACTGTGCTTGTCCTGTTGGTAAAATAGCCTGATGTTTCTAACTATAAAGCCTCAGGGACAGAGAACTCTTGATTTTTGTTTTCTGAGCATGTAGAGACATTTCTAACTTACAATGTGTCTCTCTGGTTCTCATTGCAAGAAAGGTGATGAGTAAGATACAGTGAATGAGTGTCCACATTGGGTTTAAAATTCAAAAACTCCACCTAGGATATCTGCTCAGACAATTACATTAGTCGATGTGTGTGACAAACTCATGACTTTAAGACTGCAGCCAAGGGCTGATAATGAACGTGATGTGAACACCTTTCACGGGATTTCAAAGCTCTCACTTTTCCTTGGTGCTGAATCTGCAAATCTTTGAGAGGTCAGAAGTTGATGGGGACATGGAACCCCGACATGGAGTCCTCTTCTAGTCACTGACCTGACCCCATTGGCTTATTTGCTAGTTTTCTTCCCAGAATGGCATAATTGAACAAGCCAATCGATTACCATTAAAAGCACAAGCAAAAGAGGAAGCCATGTCCAAGGAAGCCTTACATTTTCTAAGTAATTGGGTGAATAGATGGCAGCTAAAAGAGAAGTCCATGTGGCAGACTTAATTATAGACAAGTCAGTGCTCACTAATTTGTATTTACTCTGTTCATATACAGAAGAGTGAATCAGTTGCAAATAAGATAATTAATAAGCTCCAAATCAACAATCACTGCGAGTAGCTTTTACCTAGAGGAAAACACCAGAAGATGATGTGTTCATTGATTTCCCATCTGCAATAAAAAATTCAAGAAGAAAAACAAAATGTTTGGCTAACTGAAGTACGAATATCATGGAGTAAATTAACAATATTTTTTCCTTGAACATGAAAGACTTGTGTAGGGCTTTTATGCAGAAGGCAACAGGACTGCAGAGGCTGGGTAGGTCTGGACTAATATTCAAGACATCCTCAGGCAGACAGGATCTAGGACTGGGCCAAACTGATACCGAGTATCCCTGTGGCTTCATTTCACAGTCAGGGGATGTGCACAGGTGAGGGGACTCACGTGGCACAGGTCACTAAATCACCTGGGCTGCTCAACTCGGGGGACGTAACTGATGGCGCACATGCCACTTCCTGTTAAGGTGCTGAACTGAGCAGAGAATAAATACAAATGTATTTACACACCACACTACCGAGCACTACTCTGCATTAAAGAAGGATGAACTTGTGCAATCTTTAGGCAAATGGATGCACCCTGAGAGCATAATTAAGTGAAGAAACACATGAGCTTAAATATCACACGGATTCTCTTATTGAAAAACCCAAAAGATCAAAATAGATGATAACAGGAAATAGGAAAGGTACCGGGAGATAGAGAGAGGGAGGAGGGAGAGGTAGGGAAGGAAAGAAATAAAAGAAATATAGTATGGCCGGGTATTTAGCTCAGTGGCACGAGTGCTTGCCTGGCAAGTGCGAGGTCATGAGTTCGATCCCCAGTGTCAAAAATAAAAAACAAAGAATTAACATATATACAATTCACTGACTCTCCATCCTGAAACTAACAATATATAGTATAAACATGGATTAATAAAAATAGTAATTTTTAAATGATTCTTGAGTTGAGCGCATTGTTTTGCAATTATCCAGCACAGAGAGGGAATTTCCCCATTCGATACACCAAGGATAGGATGGAATTTCCCTATTTTAAATTTCCAGCCCTATGTAAAGGACACTGAGCAGATTCACAAAAGCAAACCCTAGTCCTACCCCATGGGGTGCGGGAAGAATCCTCACTTGGATCATGCTATACTCTGCAACTTTGCAATTCTCACATTCTCCATTCTTGCATATCAAACTTAAATAAGTCAAGCCCCTGAGTCACAAGTGAACACTGTGTTCTCACTAGTGACTCCAGGAACTGAAGGAAGAAGGGAAAAATTTTAGGCAAAGAATCAGAAGCTACATGCTTCTAAATGTATTTCATTAATATTTAGAGGTCCGCAGCATGCCGGGTGTGACAACCACCATCACGATGCAGAACCACGAAGCAATTCCTATGCCTCATGGGTTTAAATATTCACTTCAAGGAAGAGTGCTCTCAGATTCTCACATACATGAAAGCTGGAATGAACCCACCCCTGGGTTTTAACTGCATAAAATGCAGTTCATTAAAAAGTGTAGTGAGGCAGGATAAAACTCACAGCGATCTAATTCTATGAGATCATGAAACAAATGGGTTGACGTAAGAAATAAACAATAAGAAAGAAGAAATTTCTCCATGATCAATCCACTTAATAAGGAGACTTTCCTGTAACATAACCAGAATCTATCACTTCAATAGCTAGCAGCAAAAGACACCAGCCACACAACCCACAACGCAAGTTTTAAATACCTACTCTATGAGTTAGTTTACCAGCAAAATGCCTTACTGGAATTCTCCATATGAGAACTTATATTTTATTCTCAGTAATAACAAATTCTACATGAATATTGTCTTTCAAATGGACAGATTCATGGATTCACTTACAAACCTGGTGTGTTCTCTATGAACTGCTCCTCATCCCCCAAAGAATCATAGCATGTCCTCAAAAACACAGATGAAAAATGTCTTTTGTAAAGGGTCAGATGATAAATATTTTAGGTTTGGCAGGCCATTGGGTCTCTGGGACAGATATTCCATTTTGGCACTCTTATGTAAGAGAAGCCTGAATGGAAATGTAATGAAAGAGGCTGACTGTTTTCCAATTAAATTCCGTTTGCCAAAAGCGGTTGCCAACTTAGAGGTCATGGTTGACTTACACTGAAGTAGGACGTGCATAGGGGTCTGTCGTTCATGCCTAGCTGGGTTTGTTTTTTTGGTTCTCCAGAAATCCAACCAAAAATTAGCTTATGCATAAATAGCTTGTACATAGTACAAGATGATCTAGTTATATATCTGGGCTTCTTTTACCCATTCTGTGTTTATCCTATTGGCAGAAAGAAACCAGAAACAAGAGGGAGAGTAGACAATATCTTATTGATAAGAAAATAATTTAAGTTGGAGACATGGATAAAAGAAAAAGCACAAACTATGCCCCTAAGTAAACATAAAAAAAAAAAAAAATCACAAAAGAGCGGAAATGTCCTTCAGGTTCATTCTAAATCTCTGTATTTTACTTGTCACCTAAACTCTGCAAAATATGGGACACCCTAGTCAAGTTGTGCCCGTTGACTATATCATTGTGGGCTCAAAACATGTTCTAAAGAAAGAGTGAATGGCATATTAATATACGCTGTACCTTTGCCACCCAGTTGAAACTAAGAAATACATAAGATTTAAAATAATTGCATGTCACCATAATCAACATTTTACCTCTTCAAAGAAAGTACAAAAGTCTTTTCACCAGATATTGAAAAGAAAACAGGAGATCTAACTCCAACGTCTATAGTCAAAGCTACTTAAAGTATTTCCTGTCAAATGTTCAAAGATAATCAAAGGTTTACCATCCAGAGCTAGCAATAATATAATAATAAAATAAGTAACAATGGGAAATGGCTTTCAGTGCAGTTTGAAAGGCTTACTTAAATTAACTATACAGGGTATGATCAAAAAAAGGGTAAAAGCTTAAATAAATTTTAAAAGCTTATTATATTAAAAGACACATTGACAATACCCCCCTACCTTGCTTGAAACACACTAATCCTATTCTTGACATTAAAAAAAAAGAAAAAAAAACAACAAAAAAAAAAACTTTGTATTAGTAACTGTTTGCAGTACACAATGATTATATTCATCCTGGGGAGTTGGTACACAAATATAACACATATTTTCATGCCTTCTACGCCTCCATCTCCTGGTCCTTTTCCTCTACGTAGAAAATCTATATCCTACTGGCTTTGATTTTACACTTGAAATTATTTACACATTAGGTGAAACCATTTATTATTAAGTTTATGTGTCTGATGTATTTCATTCAATATTATTCTCTCAAGGTTACTCTAACTTTTAAGTATTTAAGTATTCACTACATGCTTTTAACATACCATTGTAGGTTATTCAAATTAATGGTCCCTTTAGTTCCTATAAAAAAAAAAAACTATACCTCTTTTGCTTCCTCATGTTAAGAAATATACATGATCCATCAACAAATAAAGGCAGCCACCTCTGCACAAATGCTTGGATACCACCATCTTCTCAGGTACAATTCCTTACCACCATGAAAAGGAAGTAGAATCATAGAGGAGACCACCAGCAGGAAGTGATGTCATAAGGGGGTGCAAAGGAAGTAGAATCATAGAGGAGTCCACTGGCAGGAAGTGACATCATAAGTGGGTGACGCTAGGGTCTCAGGGGAGTCTCTAGTCAAGGGGCTTCTTGGAAATACTGACCTAATAATAGTCCTTTTAAATAAGTTTCTTTTTTTTCTTCCTTCCTTCCTTCCTTCTTTTCGTTCTTTCTGTACAGAGCTCTTAGAATTTCTATCTCCAGAGACCCAGGGTTCTGGTGTCCAAAGAAATCCTTTCTTTTCAGCCCACTTCTCTTCTCTCTGATAGAGATGATATATCACCAGTACCCTTTACAAATTGAATGGGAACAGTCCCTGGTCAGCAGTGAACTAGGAGGACCCATTTTGCAGTAATGCTGGCCTCATTACGAACCAACATCTTTTATTAAAGTTTGAGCACAGAAAACAACTTTTCTAAGATAGACACACTTCTGTTTTAATAAGTTAAAACAAATCTTGGGTTCATATCACTTAATATTGTAGTCTCCAGGTACATTTTATTTCCTACAAATGACTCAAATCTGTCCTTCATGTCATATTATTTAGTATTCTCTGCTGTGTAAATGCCACATTTTCTTTATTCATTTGTCTACTGATGTTCATATGTGGTGCTTCTAAGATTTCACTATTATGATAGCTTTTGTAAAACCTCATTCCAGATTAGAAGGGGCACCACTGATTGGTGTCCACTACTGGTCAGTGTGACTGAAATCGAGACACAGATCATGCTTCTATCACAGTAAACATTTACAGTGGTTACATTGAGATCTGTGACATTTTGCCTAATAATGAAAAATGTTGACTACCAATACTAGAAATGAATGGTTAAGGAATAATGTAGAATTGAGACCATGTGCCAAAATATCAATACAACATACTATTCAATTTCTAGATTCTAAAAATGTAAATTGCTGGAATAAAATTGAATGATAAGATCCCAGGAATTTTAAAGTTGACATTGTGTGGGCTGAGGATTTAGCTCAGCGGCATAAGTGCCTGCCTTGCAAGCAGGTAGTCGTGAGTTCGATCCCTGGTACCGATAAAAACGAAAAAGACAAAAAAAAAAAAAGTTGTCATTGTCCATAATTCAAGAGGCGATCAAAGAATTGTGATAGAATGACCAGATTAAGGATCAGTTTTTTTTTTTAAAAGGGCTATTTTGAAAACAAAGAACCTTGCTCAAGTGACCTTGATGATTATGAAAGAAATCACATGCCAAATTCTGTAAAAAAAAAAATTTTTTTAAGCATAATAAATAAATACTGCAGTTTTTTTTTTCTCTTACAAGAGAAACCTAGAACAATAATAAAGATCAAAATGGAAACTAGATCATAAGAGATAGGGAGACTGATGCATTGTGTACTTGTATACATGGCTTCCCACAAGGAACGTAAATAATATGCCCTAAACCTGTGTATTAAGAAACTTAAATGATTTGTGCAATGGTAGATAACTTTTGCATAGTGTACAGATACTGCTTATTTTTGACTTGAACAGATAAGTTTTTCAATCATAATTTGTCTTGCGGTTTGTCTTTGAAATGTCCTTCAAGCATGTCACAAGTATTTGTGGTGCGATTCTAACCCTGTCAATGTTATTTCTTAAACTGTTGGCTTCTTACATTGCAAGGTGAATGTTACACTGATTTACAATACTTTTATTTTTATTTTATTTTATATATATATATATATATATATATATATATATATTTTTTTTTTTTTTTTTTTTTTTTTTTTTTTTTTTTTGCCACTCTGTGCTGTAGTTGTTTAGGCAAAGATTCAGTTTTGTTTAGATTTGGATATAGTAGGAAAAATCCCCAAACGGACTTGTATTTAGTCTTCACAATTCCATGATTCCCGGAATCTTAACCCTATTCCCAAATTCTCTCCCATATAATACTGACCCTTCCTATGCTTAGTGTGACATTTGATCACTTGACCCACAAATGAAAAAAATACAGTTTCAGGAATGTCACAAAAGGATGTTTCCGACCCTCAGTTGTTCATTCAGCCCAAAGCATCTTAGCAATAAACTAAATTGTAAAACAGAATTACCAAAATCGTTTCAAACTACTGTCTTGCCCGAACGGGGGCAAGAAAGTATTCAGTCAACTATAGATTTTTTTTAAATGAATTAAACTGGCATCAGTTGAAATTTTCGAGCATGTGGGCGCTTAATGTATTCGTTGCACTGCTTAAGCTGCTGTACTCAATGTACAATCACAAGTTGTTCACGTTCAATAGGAACAAATGGGTGTCTCCCCACATTCTAGCCCTATCAAATATGCAGTAGTCAAAGGTGAGCTAAATAGTAGCTGACTAAACAGTGGCTGGATGAATCCTTCCAACTGAGGGCTCAGAGTGATTGCAGCTCTTACAGCAGAGGCTTGTGAAATATAAGACTGAGACCCTGTTTTTCATCAGCCAAGCCATCCACAGTGTCCAATATGAAAATTTCTCACTTGGGATCAATACTCCACAAGAGTCACCCAAAACTGTCCCAACTCCCTCCTGCTAATGCACTCCCCTCTTCAGTAGATGATCCCTTTGCTAATTAAGCCAAATTAGTAGCAGACACAGGTCTCGGGATACTGCAGATAATGACCCATGTCCTCATTTTCAGATGGCTCCAAAGTCCAAGTCTTTCTCCATGCAAATATTACCATCTCCTTTCCCTGGTGGTGCATTTTACGTAACGTTGCTGTTGGATTTCATAATGTGACTGTCGTGTGATAAGCAGCGAGCTGGCCACAGTGCCCGGCCTCAGGCAGAACTATCAGTGCTGCTTCTCCTTGGAATTAGGACAGCCTGATTATATTAAAGTGAATGTTCTTTGCTCTGCGACTCCAGAAATGATTGCAACCTTGCAGCTTCGAGTGGCAAGGCTCTCAAGGCTCAGGGTTGGGAAGGAAGACGGATCCTTCCTCAGAGCCCCCAAACTTCATTACTTATTCACACCTCTTGGCTTGCAAAATGGAACAAATAAAAACAGAAACAAAAGCAAAATGGTTGAATAATTCAGGAGACAAAAGGATTCACATTAAGGGGTGTGATTGTTTAGCTGTATGTGCTAGATGGGAAAAAAATAAAACCATGTGTGTATATTGGATATGTTAGATAGGATCAGTCAGTATGTGACAAGGTTGTTTAGCTGTGTGTGCTAGATGAAAAAATAAATAAATAAAACCGTGTGTGTATGCTGGATACGCTTGATACAATCAGTCAGTATGTGACAAAGAGAACTAATAGTTGATTCATTTCTCAATCGTGATTAACTTTCAAATTTGCTTCTTAAAGGCAAAATGGACAGATAGGTAGGTAGACAGATAAGTAGATACAGATAGATAGATAGATAGATAGATAGATAGATAGATAGTACATAGATAGATATAGATAGTAAAAGATAGATAAATAGATAACATATAGATAAACAATAGAAAGGTAGATAGATAAAGAGATAGATAAAGTGACTGGTTTATACATCACAAAATATCTTTGAAGAATCACTAACATTTCTTTATGGCAAAAAAAAAAAATGGAGAAGCATTTAAAGTTCACTTTGGCAGAAAGAAAAGTGTAGTAGAGAAGTCAAATTAGATAGTCCTACAATTGAGGAAAGACTGAAAAAATTAGGTTTGACAAAAAGCAAAGGACACCAAGAATTCGCTGGACGGAAGGCAGTTCCTCAGGCCGATGATGCCCAGAACCCATGGTGAAGAGGAGAATCATACATATTACCTCCAGGGATGGAAAGGCAGCTGAGCTACGGAAACCTAGAATTAACTCTGGATGCACTAATACGTGTGCTGAGCCTTGTTGGGGGTACAAGGGTCCCAATTTGGAACTGTGAAATATTCCTGTAATGCTCATACGGCTGTGAAACTTTTTAAATTGTGTTCCCTTCCTTGATTTGTTGTCTAATTCCAGTTTCTACACAGCAAAATGGATGGCACATTCTGACTGGCCCTCAGCATACACTAGAAAAACAGGATTATTCTGGGTGCCTGTGTTAGGGGGACGGCTAAAAAGGATCCGACCAAAGGCTGGACCCATTCGGACAGCCCGACATGGACCCTTTCACCAGTGGATCATTGGAGAGATTTATTTTAGAACAAAGCTACTAGTGAGTACGCAGTGAATCCAAGCATAAATTTCCAAGGAATTATACACAGTACATCGGGGACCTGGCCCTGCATTGGTACCTCCTATAGAAAAGCAGCCTGCATGCTAGTTATGGTGGATGATGACATGATTTACGCAGAAATTCTACAGGTCGTTCTGGACAATTTCAGAAGTGCCAGAGAGATCATTGCTTTCTGATTTTCTTAATTTCAATTGTATTTTTTTAACCACCCAAGTCATGAGACTTCTCCCAGGCTGATTTAACAGAGCTGAAGACACCTAATTTAAAAGAAGTCAACAGAGGTTCGGGACTGTGATTTGTTTATTTCTTTTTAATTTCTATCAGCTCTTCCCACAGCGAATGGGCCAAATGTTTACTCTGTCGGGAAAAGGGTCATTAGGGTAGATAATGGCGTAAATACACGGCAAGCAGCAGGAAAGTAACGTGGATAATTAGCCAGCTACAGGATGAGACTAGGGAAGAACTCAGCTCTTTCCAAGAACTTGGACCCCTTAGGATTTCCGTGCATTTCAATTGAAAACTGTATGCGTGCCTCTGAGAATCCCACTCATCTGGAAGACTGACGGATGCATCCTTTTTCAATATTTTTAGTCTCCTCTGAAGTTCCTATTAAAACATTCACTCCTCTGCATTCTAACTGGTCCAGAGCCGTCAGCTTTTGGTGCACACCAAAATGTGTGCACTCCTGAGCCCTTACATGAAACGGCATAGGGTTTGCATGTAACCTGTACACATCCTCCTGAGCACCTTAAATCCAAGTCGACTTACCCCTTAAATTATCTGTAGGTGATGCACAACGTCTGTTACCATGCAGTGCCATGGAAAGTGTTGTACCATACTACTTAGAGAAGGGTGATGGTAAACTGGCTTGTACACGTTCAGTACACGTGTAAAATGTTTTTTCACGAATCTTTGGGCTGAGTTTGGAGGAATCATGAGATTCTGAAACATGGATACAAAGAACCTACTGAATTCTAGCTTCTAGACTCAAGAACAGAGATCATTTTCTATGCATGATCATCTAATGGATTCCTCTGTCTTCCTGTTGGTTATCTGGAGAACTCAGGGATCATACAGACCCTAAGGGTTTTCGGTTCTTAGGTAACTTCACAACATGGCAGACTGTGTGCTGTGATACCCACCTCTTAATGATCCAGAAAAGACACTTAAAGAATGATCCATCTGCTGAGTTTATGGTAAAGAATCTGTCCTCCCATCCTCCAGTTCAAACAGTCCTGCGCTGGACACTTTTCCCAAGGGTCACTGCAGAGTCCCGAGACACCCAAGGGGTACAAAGGAACCCACCCAATGCAGGACTGCAGGTGATATTTGCACAGCAAGATCTCTGGATTCTCCCAATGTGTCTGACCTGACTTCCCATCCAGAGAGGATCTAATCCAGTGTTCCCAGAAATTGTTACATTCTCCATCTTCTATATCAGCTCACACCAGAAGCAAACAAATGAAAGCCCAAGGGAATACAAAGCTGTCAGATTTACAGCAGATCAGCGTGAGCACCACAGCCATGCACCTTTCCTGCAGCTCCCTGCTAACCCCTCTCCAGTTAGCCAAGAGAGTCTCAGCACAACAGTACCCAGGTTGGCCACACTCCTACATCCCATAATATCTTCCTGGCCATCTTGCAATCATCGGTCTTTATTCCTTTTTTGGAGCATTTCTTTTTTTAAACAACAACAGCAACAACAAAAATAAAAACAATGATACAGAATTCCAAAACAAAATCCTAGGAGTTAACAACAGGTGATATATTGCATGTGGTCATCTTGAAAGGAGTTGCTCAGATTACAAGACAAGGGCATGAAAAATAGATCAAACAGTGAAAGCAAAAACCGTTCTCAGCACTCACCATTACGTTGTCTGGTCGACACAGAACCTTTGACAATCACTCCTCAGATATTTACTTGGTTATTTTTTCCATCATCAGTACGTTGCTTCCTACGAAAATTAAAAAAAAAAAAAAAAAATATATATATATATATATATATATATATATATATATAATATTCTATCCCATAAAAGATGTGATTATTCCCAAGACAACACTAGATTTCCTTTGAGTATTCCTAGGTGGGGGTTACAAGAACTAGCCCGTAGTGGGTTAATTCATTTCTGGTTCCCCAATAAGGCCGATAACTCTGCAAGACAGAACTCCTACGTAGCCGTGCTGAGCCGTGCTGAGTCCAACACTTGCAGCACACATGGAGTATGAAAATACAGCATCAATGAAAGAAGACAGCTCAAGGTGACCGGTATGTGGTTTATCAGCATGAATGCTGTCAGCGTTAGACTTCTTAGAAGATGGTCGATTTTGTGCTTATCTAAGCTAGATCTAGTTCTAGTTCGTTTCAATGGGGAGGAGAGCCTGTAGGCATCTCAGCCACCATTTGTTTGCCAAAAGTAGTGATCCTATCAATAGTATGCCTCCTGTGGAGTTGGATCATAGTAGATAAGACCTAAGATTATCTTACTTTCCTGGTTTTCTTGTTTGTGTAGTAATCATGCTACCAAAATTAGACCACTTTTGAGGATCATTTTGCAATGGAGTCTTTTCTTTAAGGATGACTGTCAGGAAACATGTCACCCTCCTACTTAGAAATGAGAATCGTAACAAGACAGATTATTATGTGAGAGATAGTTGACAGACAAAAACTCTTTGTCAACTCTTCATTTTGTATTTCTAAGAAAGGTTGGCTTGCAGAACGGGAGGCCAGACCATTTAATATCGTCCTCTGTTGACCACACAACTTGCAGAATATTAGCACCAAAAAGATAAAGCCTTTGGGTTCCATAGTTAATGAGCCAGTATGTTATTAAATTGTCAAAAAGGTATTTGATTTTAATTACATTTTCTATTTCTCCTAGCAAGCCGTGCATTTAATTATGAATATGCATTTCTTAGATATTGATTACAATGTATTTGGGAAATGAATTTATACTTAACTACCACCCTAATTACAGCCGCCTTCAGTGACCTTTTTACAGCCAAACAGGGACATGATTAGCACTTCTGATTCTACGTTGGGAAAAAAAAAAATTGATTTTCAGACCTGAGTTGGTACATTTGGCAGGCTGTGGATCAGGAGGCCTTAGAGACCATTAGGAAAACAGAGACCATGCAGTTTTCAAGGCATCAAGCTACATTCTCTCCCAGTAACTATTATTGCTATCATAGTTAACAATGCAACTAGTAGGTCAGCATTGAACACGTTGAGTGATTTATAGTGTCACAAAAACAGGAGTGTGAATTATGGCTGACAGACCCCCTTAGTTGTCTTGAGATACAGTCAGATCCAACTGTATTTAGCTGTTAAATTTTGGGTTTTGCCTGACTTTCTATCTACATTTATGTAGGGACCCAAAAGTGAGATGGAAATACTGATTGCATTTCTGCGTGCTTTCTTTTCAAGTCTGGTCATTTCTTTTCAAATCTGATAGGAGCAAATTTATGTATCATAGAGGACTGGATGCTGAGTTGCCTGTCCTACTTACACTTGGTGGAAAGAATTTTGTTCTTCCATGGCATTTCTTCGTAGGACTACTGTACTTGAAATTTTTGCCCTAAATGTCAGAAATCTGTCAACCCTATTTAGCTCTCTGTTTCGCTCTCATACCTATGCTCAGTGTTAATTGGGTGATCTTCCTGGATAGCCAAGATTTAAATACTTTCTCAATGTCTGTGTCTTTTTATGTGTTTTGCTAATTTAAATTGATACCCTCCTTGTACACACTGATGATGCACGGTCCACCATTTGGATGCCTGGGTAGTATCTCCACCATCTCCTGTGCTGATCATTTCTTTGTGGTGCCAGCATTTCCAATCCTCTGCTCTAGCTGTATGCATCTCTTCTGAAAGGATGACCTTTCCTGTGTGCTATGACTTTAATCTTCTATATCCCATGAGCCTGCGTATTGAAAGTTTGGTACCCTTGGGAAAGAGATGCAGTTGTAAGAAAAGTAACCACTGGTTAGGTCAGTGTTGTGATATCTCTCACTCTGTCTCTGTCTCTCTGTCTCTCTGTCTCTCTGTCTCTCTGTCTCTCTCTCTCTGTCTCTCTCTCTCTCTCTCTCTCTCTCTCTCTCTCTCTCTCTGCTTTCCCCATCAACATGAGGTGAACATTATTTTTTATACCATAATACATCACTTGCTATGCTACTATTTTATCATGATCCTATAGAAAACATGAGGCAAAGCAAATATTCCCCTATGAAGTTGATTATCTCAGGTATTTTGCTGACACTGAGCAAAAGCTAACTAACAGCATGTATCAGTTCCCAATGACACAGTCTTCTTCTGGAACACCTTTGTCTTTTGAGCTCTGAACCTTGAAAACAGCACCTCTTTAATACCCACACAAGGCGGGCAATTGTGGTGCTAACTGGTGGCATCAATGGATGGCCATACTATCAATACAACTGCAACCAAATAACCGAGTCTTTGTCCTGATCTGCTATGTCAGAGTCACTTTGAGATACGGCTTGGCAAGTACTTCATGCATTTAGAGCTAATTAGAAGATATTTTCTTGTAAGTGACAAAATATATGCAAGGGTAAGAATAAATTATGGGTGTGAAAACACTTCTACATTTTACTATGAAATTGAAAATTGACAACCACAGAGACAAAATAGAACACCACATGGTTGATAGTACAAAATTGATATTGAATTATGCCTTGAAAGGTTAATTTTTGCACAAAAGTGTATTCTAACAAATACAGAAAACTCCTCATGACATACACTTTACATTAAGAAACAAAATGCTTTGAGTTACATAAAAGGATTCTCAGAAACAGCCTATCATATGCACGATGGAGATTTTAAATAAAGAAGGGAGGTATAAGCTAAGCCAATACTTACAAAGTACTAACGTAGTAGTAGCTGTCACTACCATTAAAGTGATTTCTTAGGTTAATGACTGATAATAAGTGCAGAACATTAGTCAAAGCATACCTACCTCTTGAAGTATCAGAGTAGGGGAAGCTAAGAAAGACCTGTCCGCTCTACGACAAGCTTTCAAATAGGTTTCTCCATGTGATCTCATCTGCACAGCCACAGACTCGGGGATCTGGGGAGATGTGTACAGCCATTTCAGCTCACTCACTGGAGTAGGTTAAAAAATAACCTAGGAGATGAGAGAGGAACACAGAAACATATCCATCAAGGCTTATAGCTTTGTTACTCTTTCTTTTTTTTAATAATACTACGAGACACATATCTCTTACTCAAAATTCTTGGGAACAGAAAGGTTTTACATTACATTTTGTAAAAATTAGACTATGCAAATATGTTATGAGAGACTTGGGGTGGAACAGAAGCATGAGAAAGAAATTCATTCATATTTCTTACATATAAAGCTTAGATGTGCATTTATATATATTTAATAATTTTGTGCATGGAACAAAAGTTCTTGGTGTGCAATTCTGCACTTTTTGACACTAACCCCGCTCTCAAAAAGCTTTATATTTTGGAGCGTTACAGATTTCAGATATTTGGACGAAGGATGTTCACACTGTAAAGAGATTTTTTTTCCTCCTTTTTGTAGCAAAAGAATTCTAATAAATATTGTCTGGAGACTGTAAGTCATATGATTGCACTAGGGTTTGTTGAGTAGATGCCGGTGAAAGTGAGCAGATATCAAGGAAGGAGCTGGCTGCCTCATCTCAAGGTCTTTTGGGGGAGATTGGTATAAAAATACAAGCTTAATATTTTACAAGGTGATGGAGGAATAGAGAGAGATTTTCAGAAGAGGTGGCAGCTGAGACAAATGCTCAGGCAATGACATTGAGGATGACCTTCTTAGGGTAGAGAGGTGAGAGGCGGGTGCATCGGTATGAGCCCCATGCCGAAGGATTAGAACACACCCCTGGAACTCAGAGGTCTCCAGAGGCCAATGTCACGGTGAAAGCCAAGGCCTTGACGTCACTTATGACTAATGCTGGCGTGGAGGTTGACACGAAGACACACACGCACGCAAACAGGAAAATGTACAGTTATTTTTAAAACCTAAAGGTAGTTCACGAGCCTTTTGGAATCCACAAATTCCAAGGAACGTCCATTATTTATGGAGATTTGATTCAAATCAGTGACCTGTTCAGTGTCTCCAAGAATATTGGGACGTATCACATTAACTTTAATGCATCAGTTGAGCACAATAACTAGACATCGTACAGGTGAAAACATTACTTCCCACTAGGTTATAGAGGGGCCATTCTAAGTCTAAGAATGTGTCATATATTCAGGTTGAGAAGAATGACTTAATTTAGCTTATTTAAATTTTAGACCTTAATTTATCTTATCTAAATTTTATTTTCCTTTCTCAAGTAGAACTCCATTCCAATTATATTCATTTTGAAAATTGGATATTTCGTGAGATTCTTATCTGTCTGAGTCTCTTTCAATCAAAGTTAGACAGTGTTTCACTCCGTTCATGTTTTATATCACAAAAAAAACAAGAAACCAAGAGAAAAGAGGAACACTCCTATTTAGAATTTTTAAGTAAGTTTTTTTTTTAAAAAAAAGGATAATTAATTTTACACTGCACTATTTCCCCAGAGCGATCCCAAGACTTGGATGAACTCTCAAAAAATTAATTTACAACCCTACTGTTGGTTCCAACCCAAACCTTCAAAACAAAATTAAATCACAGAGATTCAGTCACCCATCCCCTGAGCAGCAGAATCATAAACAAGGCAAAGCAGATTTACAGCTTCAGCACTGGAATGTAAAGTATAAAAATTCAGAATCCTTCACAGTCTTAAAGTGTAGAACTTTCAATCCACGGGGCAGTAACTCGGGGTCGAATGAGAAATTTGACCAAACTCTTGCACCTTTACCAATATACAGAAAACAAAATTATAAAACAAAATATATAGAAAACAAAATTACAAAAACCCTGGGGATAAGGAGGTGAGTGAACAAAAATGACTCAAAGAGGCGGGTAGAAAAGCTCTTCGATGTAGAATGTGGTTAAGTGCCGTTGTCGTGTGTTAAAAACAACGTCAGCTGAAATATATTCAATGTAATAAACAACCACACTTCCTAAACACAGTGATATTACACTAACATGATCCTGCGTTCTCCCTGATGAACTTGGAGATAGATTGGGGGAGCTGTCTCCTGTCTCCTACTGTACAGCACAAAGTCCACACGTGGAGTCTCAGTGTTCCAGGAGGCTGAGGCAGGACAGTCCTGACTTTGAGCCCAGCCTGGGCAAGTTAGTGACATAACCAGATGCTGTCTCAAACAGAACAATAAAAAAGGGCTGAGGGGGTAACTCGGGGTTCAGTCCTTGACATAACAAAAAAGAAGAAGGAAGGAGGAGGAACAGGATGGGGAAAAGGAACAGAAAGGAGGAGGAGGAGGGGAAGGGAGATAAGCAAGATCCAGGGAAGATGACAAGGAAATAGCAACTAGAGGAGTGAGAGAGACAAAGAGACAGAAACAGAGACGGAGAGCTGAAAACAGAAAGAGACGGAGACAGAGACAGAGACAGCATGTCCTTTAGACAAAGACCAAAAGTCAACATTCAAACTATGAAGTCTGTTAAATGCTATCACTTTCATATGCTATAAAAATTTGTAAAATAGTGTTCTAATTTGCAGACTGCATCCACAGGCATATGGAAAGAAATTACATGGAAAAAATGAACACATTTTCTGTAAATCAGACTGTTTTACCAATACGACGCTGAATGATCCCAGAAGACCCATGTCCCATGGAGAGTGAAAGGATTCATGACCATCTTCCCTGGGAGCCTCTCTACTCTGTGTACAGGCTAAGGAGGGGTCAGTGCTTGGAAATTACCATAAAGACATTCCCTTTACTCAGTCAATCCATGAAGAGATAACTGTCTCCCAAGAGTTCATTCCTTTAGTAAAGAACCCATGTGCACTGATCATGAACACACTCATGGCTTGCACCTTGCAAGAGACTTCAGAGTAACTTTAGCTGTGACCTACATGAATACACACACACATACACACATGCATGAACACACAGAAGACAAAATTCTTGAAATAAAATTCAAGTTCTGTTGAGGTTTAATAAAAGCAGTTTGCTATAAATGAAGACAGCTTATCTGAGGGAACATAAGCGCAGGATGTCCTTGACCAAAGAAATGCCACATGCAGACATGCTAATGTGGTAGATATCTCCTTGAATCATAACCTCAGAGAGGACTAATTCAGCTGGACATTAAGCACAGGATACTCTGGGATGGGGCTGGAAAACTGTGACTCACCATATCAGACCAAAGAGGTTGGTGAAAACTCTTGGGAGGGTAGCGAGAAGCCAAACTTCGATGAAGCATTTCAGAATTAGGAGGAGGAATGTAAGGACAGGCGTATGAATTACCAAAATATCTGCCATGACATACACGAATTGGAGGAGAAATGGTTCGTTTTGGCTCATGGTTTTGAATGATTCAGTCCATGGCCGAAAGGCTCCAAGGGCAGAAAGTTGTGGGGGTACCAAGCTGCTCAGCTTATGTCATTGAAGATAGTCAATGAAGATGCTGTAGTCAGGGGTTGTACACAGAGAACAATTAGGATCAAGACATGGAGTTTATAATATTATTTTTATAATGGTCACTGGGAGTTAACATAACAAAATGCAGGAAATCTATCCGCAACACTAAAGACAGATGATTTAGTCAAGAGCCTCAACCCTACAGCAATGTCCCACAGGAGTCCAGATGAAGACCCAGAGCTCAGGACAATGCCTCTCATGAGTCCAACTGGAAGTCCAGAGCCCACAAGGACTCACGCCAGTCTCTTTTATGGATCCGTGCCAGGAAGACCCAAGGGTCAGCGGTGGAAGCCAGAAAGTCTGCGCCAGCAGGAAGAAGGAGCTGTGCTGGTGGGATGAGGGTTCTACGCTGGAGCCGAGAAGTCACACTCACAACAAAGACCAGGGCTGTCCTGAAAGGCACCACAGCTGTCCTCAGCGACACGGAGGCCCCGAGCTCCTCCTCCGACAAGCACAGTCAGGCATGACAATTTCATCCTGGAGACCAAGCAGCACACGTCTTCCCCTCCAGAGTCAAGAAGCAATGCTCAGTGTGAGGACCAGAGCTTCTCCAGGAGAACCAACAGCTCAGACAGCAACTCATAGGAGAACCCACAATGCCTCAATGCAACAAAGCAATAATGCCTTAACAACCTCCTTCTTCTCCACCTATTTATGCTGGCAACTTTCCTCAGGTGGAGCATCTTTGCTCAGTGCCATGCTGATGTAACCCAGCTGGGGTTAAGTTGACCACCAGTTCTCAATCTATAACAGAAGATCATCAAAGAGGAAGTAGTTGGGGACTGGATATATCACAGCCAAATGATCCAACCAGACTTACCCGGCGGAAATATCACAGTGAAGACCTGTGGCACAGCCAAGTGGGTCAGCTCATCACATTCAGGAAGCAGAGTCAGACAAAGGCAGATGGATAGGAACTAGTGTGGAACATACATATCCTTCCATAACACACCAAGGGAGGTAGAAATTTACTCTACTGGAAACATAGGTTTTTCTCAAGACAATAAAGATTGCTTATCACAAAAGGTTAAACATAAAAGTCATGAAGAACTCATTTTTAACACTTATGTCAAGCAGTCACAAACAACTGTGTGTCTCTTTGAAGGAGTTATCTCTGCAGGGCACATGTATCCTGCAAGCATCCTTCAGGTATGCACTCCTCCCACAGACCTCTACAAATACACACGTGCAGAAAATGGAACATTGAAAATTACTCATGAATCTGCAAAAATGAATTCCATTAATATGTATAATCAAAATGTACTAATAAAAAATACGAGAAAAAAAATCAATGCAGAACTGAACCCTGAAAGTCTCAGCAAAGGAAGTATCAAGTCTCCTGGCCACTCTCGCTGAAATTGTAAATGCCCAAATCAATCCAAACCACGCCTGATAGGTCATTGGAGAAGGGAACATTCAGTAACCAAATTTCAACCTTAAGTGTTAGACTAATGGGTACGGTGTAAATGCATCAGAGCGGCGGGCGTACCTCTCTATTTCAGCTTGAAAGAGAGCCCAAGAAGCACAAGAATAATCAAAGCAATGCCAAGCACAGCCATTCCCAGCCATGCCCAATGCAGAGTGAGCCGGAACTGC